TAACATTTGGAATCATTAACTGTATTACAGTTAAAAACAAACCACCAACAGTAACACACACACTCAGATGGCCATATTATTTATAATGGCTGTCAAACAAAAAGGTTAAATAAGCTGTACAACTAAAAAGAATGTCTTGAAAATATTAAAATAAATAATAAAGTGTTTGAATCACAATCAATAAAAGGCAATACAGAACTGTATAACATCTCCTGATGTCAAAAATATAAAATAAATATAAAACAAAATAAAATCTGTACCTTTAGGAGCAATGTCTAACATGTGTAATTAACTTGTGTGTGAGGCCATTATGCCTAAATAAAGGTACTCAAGCTTTACTCTATTTTCAAGTTGTTCTTCAAAAAGATGAGTTTGTCTAGTTGTCAGTAGTGAGGGCAGATCTGTTGGCGGTAACTATGTCACCTGCCTTCGAGAAAACCCTCTCGCTGGGGACTGAGACTGACTCGGATGTGATTGAGCATGTTTGACGTGTGTTACCACTAGCATACCGCACTGCTGTCGAAAAACGCAGACACACCGTCCTCGTCCGATCCACAACTCGCACCCCATCATTGTTGTAGTCCACAGGGAACCCGAAATGTTCCCACACAGCTGATTTAAAAGAAGCAGGTGGGTCTTCTAGCTTCTGTGTGTTGTGTGAACTCGCCTTAGCTACTAACTGTTCTTATTCATGTATTGTGTTCGTTTTGTTGTGTTTTGTTCTTGTTCTTCATTTGTTATTTACGGGCGGCTGGCTTTTAGGCGCAATGCCGCCCCCTGGATTATATATAGTGTAATACTGCCCTGAGTGACAGACTTTTTTCCCACTCGTAAAAAAAGGCGTATTCGCCATGTGACTGCATGTGCCGAACCGTGACGGTACGGGACGAATACGGATACCGTTACACCCCTAGTCATGTGTATTCTTCTTATAATCAGTGGGAATCACTTGAAACTGAGTGTGTGAATTGTTTCACAGAGAGATGTTGGATCGTGCCCTCGTAAAGAGACTCAGAGACTCTGACTCTGATTCAGAGAAGGAGGAGGAGGACAGCAGCGGCTCGCAGGCAAAGAAACCCAGCACAGACAAACCCACAGACATCCTCACCACACTCAAACCCACAGAGGCATTGGTACGATGACCGCCCACATTCAACAAATGAATCTTCTATACATATATATATTTGTCATAGCTTGTTTAAGCCTATCTTTTGTTATACTCCTCAAGATATCCATCCTGTTGCATGAAAGTCTTCATCTAAAAACTCATTATGCTCTCTTTCATCTCCTTCTTTGCCAAAAAAGAACCATGTCTTGTTTTGTATACACATCATTGATGAACTATTGCCCTGAGTGCTGAACACTGACACAAACATCGCATTACCAGCAAAGACATAATAGTTTAATGTTTGGCTAAAAATAAACTGAAATGGATTTTAACGGTAAAGTGTTGACAATAACAACGATGCAAATACTAAATGCCATGTTTTCACAGGGATCCTCGGCTGGAGGAGTGAAGAAGGCCAAGGTGGAGACTTGGGAGAGGAGTGTGGGGACACTGGGAGGTAAAGGGGCTCTTGGGTTGCTGGTTGTGCGAAAGAAACCAGCAGCGACTTTCCTCAAACCCCGTCCAGTGGCAGCAGCTTCAGCCCCCACTTCACAAACAGGTAAACATCAGTATCTCACACAGCGTAAATTAAAATCTTCTGATATATAAGCCATTATCTACTTTATTTCTTCATTAAACCTATGAGCACATCTTTGTGTGTTTTGTCTTTCAGATTCAAAGGCATCTACGACTGACTCTAAGAATGCCTCCAAGCCTGTTACCACACAAAATGGGTCATCGTCTCTCAGCCTGCTGGGGGCGTATTCAGACAGTGACAGCAATGACAGCGAATGAAAAGTTGCTCGGTGGTTTTTGATTTGATTGATTGGCGTACAATTGTATAAATGATGCATCAAGGATATTATGATGTGGACCTTTTTGTAATCTGCACAGAAAGCAGCGTCATATGTTAACCCAGTCCGTGGGTATATCCTATGAAAACCTTTCTATAAATAAATTAATGATGCAGTGAATGTGTTGGCAGGCATTCATTAGCGGGAATTATATTGTCTGTGGACAAAACCCAGTGAACAAAACAATTATTCCTTAGCCAATCCACTGTTTCATGGACACGTTGAATCCATGCAAGTGGTATTCGCCCTGTGAGAATATCAGATTTAAATTGTAATGTTTATTCAAATGTGTTGTATTCAACCCGGTGTCCTTCACATGCTTTGACGTCCTTTAATGTCTCTCATAAAACTTAAATGTGGAATCTGAATATGTCGTTTTTATATTGTTGTGCCACAAAATGTCTGTTGGCACACACATACATTGATTTATGTACGTCAGAGACAGGAATATAAGAAGAATCAACTATAAACTTGCAATGATTCCAAAAAATTAATAAAAGCATTATGTAATTCATCATTTTTTTTGCACCGTTGATTGTGATTTTATACGGCTGAGTTCAATTCAAAGAGATAATGTATTATCATCATCCTCTTATCACCGTCATAATTTTCCTCTTATAAAACCCTCCTGGTTTAGTCTGAATACAGAGGGGAATCTCCAATGTCATATTTTACTTTAGTCAGTTTCTTACATATATATATTTTGTGTAAAATATTGCCTTTTAAAACGTGTCACAATAGTCTTTAAAAATAGTTTTGTCAAATAGCTTTCATAATTGTACTATTTTTTGCTCCTTTCTTTAAAATCTTTTCTTTTCCTGTAGTATAAATCTGTATGTTGCTGTAGTATTTTGGTCTTTTATAGAACATTGTAATTTATCCAGAATATTATTACTTTTATTATGTATTACTTGTGATATGTGTATTTTTTTACTGTAGATATGTTTATATTTGCTGTTTATTGTTTTTATTTGTATTATGTTTATACTGTATTCCACCTTTTAAGTATGTTAATGCATGAACACACTATGTAATAGAGTATTTTCACATTATGCTACTTTATACTTTTACTTCACTACATTGTGTAGGCTAATGTACCTTTTTCTCCACAACATATTTTTTTACATATATAGTTACTGGTTTCTTTGCAGATTTAGGTTATTAATTAATTAAATCAACGCACACTATATTATAATAGTATAGGTTTAGCTACCCCATAGTAGTGTATAAAGTCATTCAAGTAAACCCCATCTTTACCAAGTGCAACATTGAAGAGATAAATACATTCATGCAACAATCGTGTTTTAAAACATACTAGTGCTATCTGGTGCTTAAAATGGCTATTTTCCATAACGAGTACTATTACTTTTGGAACTTATGTTAATGCTAATACTTTGTCTTGTAACTGAGTATTTGTACACTGTAGTATTGCTACTTTTACTTACTTCTTTCCACCAAAAACAGTCCACATTACAGTCTCTGCATCTGTAAAACAAATGGTTGTAATTGTGGATCAAGCCACAGTGATATCTGCATTCATGTCGTCACAGTTAAAACATCGCAGTGTTCCCCTTTAAGCCCGTCGTCAGTGAGTGTTGTGTCTCGGTCTGGTCCGGCTAACATTAGCTGACTGACCTGCTTGGCTCAGAGGCAGCAGGACGGATTTCACGGATAACAATGTTTTATTCTTAGTCCTAAAAACGTGAGAAAAAAAACGAAACGCCGGATGGTTAGCAGAAAGACGTAACTGGACCGGGAACCGTCAATGCAACGAAAGAGGGTGAGCGTGAAGAAGTAAAGCCGTTAGCAGTTAGTAAACGCTTCGACGTTAGATGCTATCCGGCTAACTTGGCTAAGCTAGTTTTGGCATATTAACAACAGTGTTGACCATCAGTTGTACGACTCATAATTCTTTCACTTTTTTTTTTTTTAAATATATAACATATCATAAGCGTTTGTCAAATATTACGCTTGGTGCTGATACTTTGAAAGGAAATCTTGAATCTGCTGTTATTAATATTTGATTGATTGAATCCCCTAATTTACCCCTTGATGCTAACTAGCTATTGTCAATGGTTGTGATTTTCTGATTTAGCAAGATTGCTAGCGCTGACCTTTTGTTATCAAAGCTCACTGTCATCTTGCATTTAATAATGTTAAGTCTGAGGTGCTGGACATTTTATTTCTCCTGGACCTGTTGATTAATGCCAATACCTTTTATTTCTCAGGGCATTGCCAGATTTTAGAGGGATTTAACAACTCTAGCCAATGATATGTATGCTAACTGAATACAAATCTCGTTGAGATCATTAGCCTGCTTTACTCAGAGGTGGAAGAAATACTCAGATTATTTACTGAAGTTAAAATAGCGATACTACAATGTAAAAATACCAAGTTACAAGTAAAAGTACTGTAATAAAAATTGCACTTAAGTAAAAGTACACAAGTATTGGCATCAAATATATACTTTATGTACCAAAAGTATTTGTTATGCAGAATGGCCCATTTAGGCACTTCATATTTTTTAATTATTGTATTATAATTAGTGGTGCATTAATATGTTCATCACTTGTTCATGTTGCACTTGATCTGCATTACTTTATACACTACTGGGTATATTAACCAATGGAAATACACGATAATGTATTAGTCAATTTATATTTTATAATCTAAATCTGCAAAGTATCTATATCTGTAAAATGAATGTAGTTGAGTAAAACAGTACAACATGTGCCTATAAAATGTAGTCTGGTAAAAGTATAAAGTAGCATAATGTGAAAATAGTAAAGTACAAGTAGCGCACTCAACGGTACTTGAGTAAATGTACTTAGGTACATTCCACCGCTGGCTTTACTTATAAGACTTTAACTCAAGGTTACAATTTTACCATTTGTCTGGTATTTAGTTAATTGTTCTCGATACCATATATCCATCATTACCTAACAGAAGCAACATATATTGTCCCAGTTCATGTCCCAATTGATTCTTGAAAAAGATAATGTAGATTATTCTAATATATCCACTTAATTCCCAGATCCATGGCAAAGTGGCTGAAGGACTACCTAAACTTTGGCTCCAGGCGTGACCCTCCGCAGGTCCCGAGGCCAGATTACAGTGAGAGTGACATTTTGAGGGCCTACAGAGCTCAGAAGGAGCTAGATTTCGAGGACCCGTATCAACACTCTGATAAGGAGCGTCAGAATGGTGGCTTCAGCCCCTGTAAGGCCACAATGAGCCTTCCCTCTTTCCCTGCATTCGACTCAGTGCTGCCTAGCGGTCTGGAGGTATGGCATGCATGTGTTTACAGTCATTTACGTGAATACAAAAAAAGTTTGCATTTACTGCAATGTTTCATTGTTTTGAAAATGTTTTACCAGATACTGTTTAGATGTTGACAATGTAGAGTAGACTTTCATCTCACTTGGACAATGAGTGTTGAAGATTAATTTAAAGTTGTGTGTGTGTTGTGTTTCAGGTGAAAGTGGTATCTCCTAAGCACAGACTTATTAAAGTGGACTCTCAGGAGTTTGGCTGCAGTAAAGTCCCCCTCAGTCCTGTGACTATACAGGAGGAACCTGTAAGAAACATTTTTTATTTGTGATCAGCTTTCATTTTTTTCTGGCTGTATCTCTATTCCCTCCCTGCTTTTTCCCTTTTATAATTCACAAATATACACACACACACACACACACACACACACACACACACACACACACACACAACACACAAAGTGAGATGCTTTGTTCCTCTCTCCATTTCAAGGTGGTTCCCTCTGCCCCAGCAGCGTCGGACGCTGACACCGACTACTCTGATCCATTTGATGTCCGTCCAGACCCAAGAGGCAGACCAAACTGGGAGCCAAAATCTGCACCAACTGACTGCTGCAGTTATATGGAGCCATTTGAGGCCCAGAGGATTATCTCAGGTTTGTTTTGCGATCTTTTCCCCCCTCACATTTTAGGTTCCTTGGAATATTTACAATTTTAGACTATCTACATATTCACAGTGCAAGCATGTTTTTTTTCTTCTGAAAGTGACATTTTTATTCTCAGTTTCTACTACAACAAAAATCTTATACTGTCTGTCTGAATATATCTGTATTCGCCATCTGTCTGAAAAGCTCAGTTTTATTTCCTGTCTCTTTAATCCCCCTCTCAAAATAGCTCAGTCTGCTCTGATTGGTCAGTGTTTTTCCAAATATGCCCTGTGTCCTCTGCTACATCCATGCAGCCAGGGAGTGATTATAGTGGAATTAGGGATGGGGATCATTTGAAATGTACCGATTCCGGTTCTGCTTATCGATTCCGGTTCTTATCGATTCCAAAATAAAGAAAGAGGTCAAAAGTTTAGACAACAAAAATATCTTTATTCTTTTAAGCTTTAACTGACATTTTTACAAATAAAAAATATAAATGCAATACAAATGTATTGCACAATAGCTGTGCTTTATTTTAACTGAGCTATGCCTGTGGCAAGCTATTAACTTGCCACAGGCACTGTGCCTTGTCTTTTTCTTTTTTAGTGTAGTGGAGCCTCACTTTAGAGCGTTCACCACGATCCATCTTTGGTGTTATGAAGTGACTGAGCTTGTGAAATGTCTACGGGAGGGCGGGGGGAGCCTCGCTGCGGGGCAACTGTGGACCTCTGTCGCCTGTCAGCGCAACTTACATGATGCCGTTTAAAAAAAATGAAGGGCGCTGACGACCGGCCGTTCTGTGATTCTCCAGAACACACAGATGGCCAGTCCGCCCTTACCCTCTATTCCACCGGGTCACCGCGGCGCAGACGGACCCGGTGGAATACAGGGTCTACCGCGTTTAGGAACCGTTAAGCAGAACCAAAATTGTGTATTTTGTATGGTTACCCGTACCCGGTACCCGGCATTTTCTTATCGGTTCTCACCTGGAACCGAGTTTCGGTTCCCAACCCTAAGTGGCACTTCTACTTATTTGTAGCATAGTTGGATATCACAAAGTTACAGAAGTCTGGCCTGTTTAAAGCATAGACTGTATGGGTTAAAGGCACTGTTTCTAAATTAGCGCTGCGTGCACTTTGTCATTTTGATTCAAAGTATTAATTTATCACCTAGTCCTACCTTAAAAAAAAATACATGAAACCTAACTTTTTACAATATGGGACCCTTTAAAATTGTGCTGGAATTAATTTACTCTTTGTTTACTGTGCAGAGCTGCAGCACAGCATGATGACTAACAGGTCTGGGAGTGGAGATGGGGGCCAAATCTACGATAACCCGTACGAGGAGAGGACTCGCCACCAGCACCGAGCCAATCCAGCCGCACAGCAGCTGACTCAGCGCGTTGAGGGCGGTCGTCCCCCGATAGACGGCAGGGAGAGCAGGCTGCCTCAGGATGATGAGAGGCCGGCGGACGAGTACGACCAGCCCTGGGAGTGGAAGAAGGACAACATCTCGAAAGCTCTAGCAGGTAAACTCGATGTCTCAATCTGTATCTGTTGTCTTGAATACTCTTTTTATTCTTTTTTAACATACTGTATGGTTCTTTTTGGCCATAGTTCAGTTTGAAGGGGCAGAAAGGGAGCGCTCGCGGGCTCAGACAGATCAGACCAGGCTCACCAAGACGGGCACTTGTTCTACAGCGTCTGAGTCCACTACACTGCGCCTGGTGGGAGACACTCCTCCTCTCCTGGGAGAGAGAGTGGACCCGTTTATGCCGCTGGAGAGACAAGTGTAAGTGTACATCTGCAATGTTCAAAGATCCTTTCTGCTGTTTTTATTTCGCAGTGCCATTTTATTTGATATCCTCACCCACATCCCATAGATTTAAAAAACCTGGATTATTGTTTGGTTTTTTCTCCCACTGGGTAAACATTTTTGAAAATATAATTTTTTTTTAGAGCTTCTAAAAGACTTACTCCTATATAAGTTGATTTTTAACACTTTTCAAACAAAGAGGAAAAGTGTAGAACATTGGGGAAAAAAACTGCATGAAAAGGAAAATGTAATCAGATTAAAAATGAAAAAGATAGTATAAATTAAACAAGGTATATCAAAGTTCAGCTGAGATATCAACCAATCAAAAGAACAGTTTTTAACATATGTTGGTTTGTAATTGCACATACCGATGTCAATGTAAGGACTTTAGGCCGTATTACATTCATTTTTCAGCAAGAATTGTGTGGCAATTTACGCAAACATGCCGCTGAGAAAACCTTCCTGGCTCCAATAACACCACAGTATGATGGTGATGTTTGAAGGATTATGGATGCTATTGATTTTCTTTCTATGGTTCCTTAGTGGGCTTTCTGTGTCAGTGGGAAAATGTGGTAATGTTTTATTCATCCTTAGTGGGGAAATATAAGCTTTTAATGGCTTCATAACTCGACATATGAGCATAGAGAGGAAATGACTTTACAGTGTGATATTGATCAAAATAAAAGGTTTAATTTATTTATTGTATTCTTATTACATATTTTCCTCAGATACATTTTTGATTACAATGATTGTTCAAGAGCAATTATCATCTTTTTTCACTTTTGTCGTACACTGTTATTCCTCCATTTTGTTCTTTATGGAAATTAACTGTGTGAGCTTTATGGTAAATAAAGGAAGCTTACTTTTTGCAGTCTCGGATAAAACTGTTGCAACATAGTGGGAATGCACATTCACGGGATACATTAATCACCAAAATCACTGCCACATATCGCAATGTCCAACTGTCAGTCTGCTATTTAAGCATTCACAAGTAAAAGAAACGACACATTTAGACAGAAAATCAGTGAAAGTTGTTTTGACACCGCTGAAAGCTTACCTGTAAACACAGGTAGATGTAACGCACTGAACACTTCACATGCACAGTGGAAGCTGCAGTAACTCCTATGGAAATCCAAAATACTTGGCACACATTTAAATGGGATCAAGACCTGCTTGCTGTTATGTTTCATTCAATTTTCTTCACAATATTTGATTTGGTCTAATGAGTTCAGCATCCTTTTGGGAGGGGGCTTTTCAATTACATTTTCCATTGCTAGGAACCGCTTACCGTACCTTTTTTATTTGCATTGATACAATAAGATCTGTTGAATTTAAGAGTTGTTTTTAAAGTATGTCGACTTACAACTACTTCTTCTTTCATGCCTGTTGTCATCGTCGTAGTGTATTGCAGACACACAATGTTTGGACCATGTAGCGGTTTCATTATTGAAGCAACTTAGCTAGCAATAGTCCCTGAGTTACACTGCATGGATCTCAGTGTTCTGTTGTTTCCTCCTGGTCTCTGCAGGTGGTACCATGGAGCCCTGAGCCGCTCGGAGGCAGAGAGTCTGCTGACTCTGTGCAAGGAGAGCTCGTACCTGGTGAGGAACAGCCAGACCGGCAGGAACGAGTACTCGCTCTCTCTCAGGTATACTCTCCTTCTCACACTCTGAGTCCAGCTGCAGATCGTTGCTGTCCCACATTCGTCCTTTCAACAAGTGTAATGCACATTCTGGGTCTCATTTACAGTTGTAGCCTCTTTTTTGTTTTATTGTAAGCTGCCCCCAAAAAACTGCTTCTCATATTGTCTCAATTCAAAATTGCATTCTCTTAAAGGGGAATCCTATTCCACTGTAATGTCTCCAAATTGATCGGATTTGGTTCTCTTCTGGTCTGTGGGTGGTGCTAATCGTCTCAGACTTGAGCCCTAAGGCAGCTTTTCATTGTTCGCCCTTGTATCTCTCTTCCCATATAGGCGCTTTATCTGTGTTGCCTTTTCCTTCCCCCATCCCCCACTCCTCTCTGCAAGTGTGTTTTACTTATGAACACTTATGAATAATTAGCATGAAAGCAGCTGTTTTTCCAGTGATCCTCTGCGTGCTGGGACTTATCTCTCGTCTGTACTCATTAATACGAGTGGATTAAACCAAGCTGAACGCTCATGTATGTAGCCAACCAAAACAAAAATGCATGAATAGTGATCGGAGGTGTCAGTGAATAGATCAGATTACAAATACAAGATATTTCTAGGATCTCTGTGGATTATTTTCTAGTCCAGTGTTCTAATAATTATGTTCAACAGTCCTCCAAAGAGCCAACAAAGCAGTAAGAATATTAGATGAAGTTGATAAGACATATTCATCAATCTGAGTTTACATCAGTGTTATAAATATTGATGACATTTTACAAAATCGCAAACGTCATAGGAGATGAATATAATAACAACATGGTAAAACTCTCCAAGCTAAAGTACATTTGTTGCAAATTACTAACAAATTCATTCCACAGCCATTTGGGACCCCACTGAGGTCATTTTTTATTTCGGGTCATTTATGCCTTTTAATAAGAGAGCAGTAGTGGAGAGCAGAGTCCTGCACGGGTCTGATTTTCAAGACCCGCACCCGCGACGTGCAATACCGAACCCGCCCCGCTACCCGCACATATTGCCAATTAGTTCCGCAACCCGACCCGACCCGTCGGCACAAGATCCGCAACCCGACCCGAACCCGCATATATATGAGCACTGAAAACGTGCAATTATTAACACACGCAGTTGCATATTTGTCTCAAAAAGCGTGGGATGTTGGTTATTTCCTCCATCTAGGAACAAAAAGCCTCCCAGACGTTGGATTTCGCTCTCGAGGAAGTGTTATTGAAAATGCTGTATTCTCCGCTAGAGAGCTTCACCTCAGCCATTTCGAATGTGGCGCGCACAGAAGCAGATTGATGCACTGCAGAGGTTATGATTATGCGCGGTCCCGCGGGGGAGAGGTCTGAGGATTTTAAACATTAAACTAATTTATTATTATTTTAATATATTTATTATGCAACACCCGCGACCCGACCCGCATCATCTTTGTTTTACCCAGAACCGAACCCGGAAAAAAGCGTTTGAAAAAATACCACCCGCGAATCACCTTTTTTGCGGGTCACCCGTCGGGTTTCAGAGGCATACCTTGACATGTCTCCAGATGGTTTTACTCGCTCGCCGCAACACTTCACTCCAAGAAACCACATTTGGTTTTAGGAATGTGTGTTCCCATAAATGCCCTTTTGTAAATGTCACAAACAACAAACACATATTAATCTGTTTCCCTCCTTCTTCACAGGAGCTTTAAGGGCTTCATGCACATGAAGTTCACTCGCTCTGCAGACGGGCGCTATGTGCTCGGAGAGAACAGCCCTCCCTTCTCCACCATCCCCGAGGTCATCCACTTCTACACTACACACAAGCTGCCAATCAGAGGAGCTGAACACATGTCTCTACTGTATCCCGTCATAGTGCAGACCCTCTGACACTGACACACACACTCTTTCTCCTGGTGCTACTGAATACGATATATACTCAATATTTACCTACTACCTTCCTGTTTTCCTACATGCCTTTTCATCGCCATTCTACCTGCACTGCCCGCAAGAGATTGGACTGTTTGGTGCCATCTTCTCCTTTTACTATAACCCCAGTAACTACACTGGCAGCTCAATAAAACGTCTCAGTGCCTCATGTACTGGTACCTGTGAACTGGTATTGCCACTGAAATCCCCTTATTTTAATACTATGGACTCCTCAAAGCAGCAATCATTCATAGAAAGATTGATAACTAAGTACTTTTTAAAAAATGTGTCCTGAGAGAGTAGGATCTACACTAAATTGCATGAAGACTGGTCTCTTTTACTGTAGAGCAAAGAGTGACTGTACCACTAGGTCACTTAAAGGATAATGGAACCGGTGTTTTTCTTGGTATAGGTAAAGAATATCAAGCAAGATGATGGATATGGGGTGTGGGCTTTTAAACTAGATTTCGACAGTGTACAAAGCAGTTTAAAAAGTGCTCTGACTGCAAAACAACTATTATCATCTTAAGTGTTAGTTACAGTATCAACCCTTTTTCCCTGGCCTGTGATTCGTTATATAGCTGCTTCCTTGCAGTGTTTCCCTGAGTTCATGTTTCCAGTGAACAACACCAAGTGACAGCATAATGTCCCAAAGACATGACACGTCACTCTCTTTGCAATACTAGTTTAGAGATCAATAGCAGTATTATACCGAAAGCTTATTGCTTTGTGATTATGACTATTAAAGGAGCTTTGGTAGACTATGTACTGTGCTGTTTTATAAGATTTTAAATGTGTGTTGAAAATAAAAGTGTTTGTTTTTAAATAGTCTGCTGGTTTTTATTTTGCATCCTGTGTCGGACTGTGAATTTTATATGAGTATATTTGGATTGTGTCATATAAACAGATGGTTCTGGCAACATATATATTTAAGTTATTTCTCATCTAAAGGTGAGGTAAGTTAAGGCGATGACAGGTAAGTTCCTATTTAAATATTTACAACCAGAGAAAGATGTTTTCTATTCTAGACAACACATGTTTATGTATTGCTTTTTTAATGTCTAGTTGATTGAAACCACCTTTGGATTAATTAATTCTCAGAGATGGCTGCAACCATGCAAGATGCAGTTTCTTTTTAGATGTGTTGTTGAGATCAAAATGAAGGTTGAGGTGGGCCAGGTGTGGTACATTTTGCCATTGGTTGGTGTAATAAAGATGGTCTAGTGCTTTGATGGATTTTATTTGTTTTCTTCAGGAAACCAGGAGAAATGGAAACTGGCATGTACGTGGCCCATAGAGATACATCTGGTAACAATTATTTCATGTTGATAATGCCAAGAAGTGTGATTTTAATGGTGACATTTTAATCCTTAAGAATCTGAGCGTCTTTATTTTGGCTAGACCAATTATTTTAGACTTATCATAGGAGCTGAGGTTGAACTTCTAAAAAACAACCATTGATAACATGTATGGTTCTTGCATCAACACAGACAAGATTATTGGGAAATATTTTTTTAAAACTAAAATATCCATAGTGATGCCTTAATGCGGCACACAGTAAGGCGGAGTGGGACATCGCCTCTCCCTGCCCATAGAGGATCTTTTATTTTCTGTACCCCACCAGTGTCACCTGATATACAGCCTATGCACCTGATCCCCTAGCAACCAGCAGGTGTCGGTGTCACCACGAGAACCAATAGTACAGGTAAAAACTATTATTGCTTCTAATTGTGTTATAGTTACTTTTACAGTAGATAAACAGTAGCGTGATTAGTTAAAGATAAATACATTTGTCTATGTGTTATTAATGGGGTCAGCTACAGATTAAATGTGTGTGGTTGGTGCATTGAAGGGTTAAGCCTCAACAGTACATACTCAATATTTATTTTCACAGGCTACAGCACTCTTCAAATGGATTAGCCATTACCAATAGAGTGTATTACATGGCAAAATGTTTAGCTAAATTAAGGATGCCAGTTATTATTATTATTACAACTTCCTTCCCTTTCTATTGGTGTTTTGTGTTTAAATTGTTTGTGAACAAGTAAAAATGCACATGGGTAACATCCTCATTGTTGTGTATAACTCGCAGACTTATATATCTGAAAAAAGCAATTAATCCCTACATTTAATGTTTTAAATGTCTGCTAGATACATTACTTAAACTATCAAAGATATGGCTTAAAACCTACACACAAATATTGAGCTGTGAATTAATATGTGTTTGATGTGGGGGGTTTTCTCCAGCGAAGGGATTCAAACACTTAGTTAAAACATCAAAATGACATTATTATACATCATTAAAAGTATTCAATGTAACAAAAATAATATAAAAGTCAATCCTGAATAGTTAGGCTTTACAGTTTTTATGTCTTAGTATCAATAATTGTTTCAGGGCTATTTTATTCGTCATTTTGAAACTGAAATCACAGAATGACATTTCTACTCTTTTATAATAAGTAACACAACTTTCAAAAGTGAAAGTAAGCCAGCATGCCTTCACTTGAGTTGTTGTTGGCACACTGTGTAGTATGTGACAAACAATGTTGTTTACTGTCATGTTTGTGAAGGACAATGGCATTGTGATGAATATCCTCTGCTTCCCTCGCCAGCCAGCTTCAACCATTTTCATGGCAACTTTCACGAAGAAACTTGCTCAACCCAAACCCAACAGAGTCAGATATCCAGACCGGTAGGCCCAACTGAATCCTGTCTTTCTCTCTCTGTCTCCGTTTGTATTCTGATGTTAAGTCCTCTCTTTTATTTTCCAGTCGTTCTGTTTACTGGCTGGATCAGATGCCACCAGAGAGTACTGGATCCATCACCAAAATCGGTACATCATTCTCATCTCTCTCCAACATTTTCTTCTATTTACAACATGCCCTGAACTGCTTTTTTGTGATGTGTGCATACATGTTTTTCTTTTTAGAGTTAACCCCTCGCTGGTCGGAGCTATGTAGAAATAAAACATTCTACAGTCAAGTCACGTAAATATGAATTTATGCATTATACTAGTGATGCTTATGCATGTGTGATTTAGAGGCAATGAGAAAAAAGTAAGTCCTGTGATGCACTTTGTAAGTCTGGTTTAAATGGTTTTCTCTCCTGTGTTTATGACTAAAGAACACGTGTGAATAAAGGTTTTGCCAGGAGAATTTAGACATACAGTAAATACATTTTTACAATTTACATTTACCATTTACAACAGCAATTAATTGGAAAAGATCCTGACAAAAAATACAACCAAGAAGTGTTTTCCCCACTTGACAGTAAACACAGCAATGCAGCTGGTAACAATGTTAAATGACAATAATATTTAAATAATTTTATAAAGATTTAATGAGGAAAAAATTGTTTAAAAAAGAAACCTCGCTGTGAACTTTTTAGATCTGGACTCATCTACTTTCTCTTCTTGGGTTTCTGCTCGTGTCTGCCCCCTACCTTCCTTTCCCTTCCTCTTTTATGTCTTATCAACTTCCTTTTTAACTTTCTGTATCCTCATTCATCCACGCTCTCATTACTCTCTTCCTTTCCTCAGAATTTCTCCCGAGTGGGCGGTGAGCGGCGCAGCTCTCCGGGCCGTCCCCTCAGATCGCCTCTGTGCTCTGGCTCTGCCTCCGGCTCCTGCGGTCGGCTGGCAGCCTGAACGCCCTCTGCTTAAGCCTGTGAGTAACACACACACTATTTCCTGAGAAAATGCTTATCACAAGGTAGCTGGCCGCTTTCCAACTGACCTGTCGATATGTCTTTAGAACTCCACAGCCAACGGTGTTAGTAAGGCAGGAGCATCAAGTATTTAGGAAGGCGATTGAACTTACATGTTTTCTTTGAGTCCTCTGAGTGTATTGCTTATTGGCGTGTTGTCTCCTCGCCCACTGTTGTTCCAGTGGTTTGGTGTTTTCTTGCCTGAAATGCCTCCATTAGCCTCCTTGTTTTATATCCGTAACATAGTGACATCAGTATGTAACACTTGTACGTCTATTGGCAAGCGCTCCAACACATTATACGTGATATGCTAAGGGCCGGGATATCTCTAAGCAGTTGACCAATCACAACAGAGTCGGCCAGCTAACCAATCAGAACAGACAGAGGGTGAAAAGAGGTGCTGCAGCATGGCCAGTATGAGAAAATAAAGAGCTTTTGAACATTAAAACATGTGAACATGTCACAATCGAGACACAAAAAACATACAACTTGAGTTCATACATACAAAATATGACCTTAACTTTAAAGTTGATCCCTTTTTAGGTTGACAGCAACAGAATGAGTGAACTAAGAGTCTAATAAGTGGCAGCAGACTGGATGTGAATTACTTTGATAAGATGTTCTCTAAACAAAATGTATCTGTTGTTAAACCTTCTTCACTGCATTGAGAATAAACAGCAAACTATGAATGTACATTTGTTTGATAGCTTCAGAGCAGCTCCTGTCTGATATGGTGCTTGTGTGTGTATAACCTCCTTTATGACCTGGTTGTAGTTGAACAGAGGGACGCAGACGGCAGTCGCCACTTCACGAATTTGCCAGCTTGCCCAACCGAAACGAAGGCCAGTTCTGGAGGGTTGTAGCCCCAAATCTAAACCTTTACCTTTGACCCACATACCCTACAAAGCATCAGCACACATAGAACTACTGGCTAGTAAGTATTTCAATTGTTCATCTATCGTGGCATTGTTCTACTTGCTGTATGATATAATTGCTTTTATGTTTTCAGCCCCTAAGCCCGACCACCCTAAGTTTGAAGGACAGCGCTCCGTCTGCTGGCCCGTCTCCAGAGCAGCGAGAAACTGCTCGGCCAGCCATAGACTTCTGGAGCTGTGCGGGCCCAAAAAGAGGATGGCTCTGTTCGAGGGGTACGACCCGAACATCGTTAGTCGGGCGGCCCGCTCTGCCAGCCCCTCGCCTCGGATTCAACAGCTGTGTCTACCTCTGCCTCGCAAATGCGCCTCAAACTAGGAGGGATGGGGTTTCATTCCAAAAATGTGTATTGTTCTCATTTTCCTCATTGTGATAAAAGTAGTTTTCAGTCAAAATCAAATGCCTATTATTTAATCATATACCAGGTTTTCTTGGCTATACTAAAAACTAAAAGTTGATGGTTTTATGGGCATCAATCAAAACCAGTTACACACCAGTGGTTGTTGTAATGCATTTTTAATAGTGGTCTCATGGGTGCCACTAGTTGGCTACATTATGAACAAGAAGACCCTACCCCTCATTGCAGTCACTTCATTGTTAGACCATGAGATAAAATAGACATAGAGGGAGATATTGTTCACAGCAGCTGAAATAGTTTTGAGACATCCTGCAGCGCACATCCTGCTGCTCATATCCTTCACATCTTATTTGTTTTGTTAGTTACAGCTCTGATGAGAAATGCTGAATTATAAATAATACATTTCCAAAAGGCTTAATGAGCCATAACAAAGACAGCTAAGTCATTTTAATGTTATAACACGATCACACTAAGTTATTTAGTGAGTAATAACATTTCGTTTTAACTGTGTGCAATCCACTGAAAGTGAGAGTTTACTTTGTTTTTATAAATATCCCTTAAAAATAGATTGTTTTGTTCATCTTATATCACGTGGATGGATGGAAATGATTGTAGGCTACGATAAAGCTTGATCTATAAAAGCCTAATATCGGACCTCCGAGGAAACAACTCCACGGTCCTCCAGGCTCCAGCGGTCCGCGACCCGCAGTTTTGAAACCTCACAATTAACATGTGTTGACGCTGGAAGGCGGGTGTTAGTAATCCCTCTGATACATCAAGTTGGTCATTGGACTCGGAGAGGCGCGTGTTGGTCGAGCTCGCACCGGTAA